CATTGGTGATAGTGGGAAGAATAGTGCACCCTCATTAATGTCAGTGGGAGGAACAGTGCCCCCTTATTGGTATCAGTGGGAAGAATAGTGACCCATTATTGGTATCAATGAGAGGAATTGTTGGTGTCAGTGAGAAGGAGAGTGCCCAATCATTGGTGTCGGTGGGAGGAATAGTACCCCATTGTTGTCAGTGGGAGTGAGAAGAAGAGTGCCCAATCATTGGTGTCGGTGGGAGGAATAGTACCACATTGTTGTCGGTGGGAGGAACAGTGCTCAATCATTCATTGGTATCAATGGGAGGAATAGTGCCCCATCCTTGGTGTTATTGGAAGGAATAGTGCCCCTTCATTGGTGCCAATAGAAACAAAAATGCCCCATCATTGGTGTCAGTGGAAGGAACAGTGCTCCATCACTGATACCAGTGGGAGGTATAATGCCCCACTATTGGTATTAATGAAAGAAATAGTGCCTCACCATTGGTGCTTTGGGGATGAATAGTGCCCCATCATTGGTGTCAGTGGGAGGAATAGTTCCCCATTGTTAGCATCGGTGAGAGGAATATTGCCCTAAGGGCCCCGTAAAAGCAAGCGAAGGACTGCATCTGACCTGCAGGCTGCAGTTTGGGGACCATTGATATACACAGGAATATTTCCCATAGCTTTGTTGAAATATATAAATCCAAAGTGTATATGTTTTATTTTAAAATAGATTATCTGTTAAATGTATATGGTCTATTATAAAACACTGGGGAAATATGCAAACACTAAAGTAACAGATTCACAATGATAATTATGTAATTTTTTTTTTTTTTACATTCTCTACAATATTTTATGTCTTTATATATTAAGAGAATTAAATTACTGAGGTTTGTGAAGCCATTAGCCTCATCAATTGAGCAGGAATTAGTGCCATGCCTATTACACGCCGCCATGCACACTCACTGTACGAATGATAAAGTGGGCACGCTCTAGCTTCTTACTGTCGCTTAGATAAATAGAAACAAGCACATTATTATCTGCCTAATAACAGTCACATTTGGCTGGATAAAACACCATTCTTTATTTGCCTCGGCAGGAAAACTGGCTGCATTGTTTATATCATCAGCACACAAAAGGGTTTGATCACAAAAACAGTGATAATTTAAAGCAATGCTTCTAATCTCAAGCAGTCCTTGCAATTATTGGTCTGTTTCTGACCAGCTAGGTGGCAATAGTGAGTAGTGCGTGGCGTTTGTTACTGCACAGGACATTTTCCAGTTGGAACAGGGCCCAATCCTTCATTCTGAAATTTAGATTCTTTTTAAAAATAATAAACTTGTCTATGCTGTATGTAGTGGTTTTGCACAGAGCAGCCCGCATCCTCCTCTTCTTGGGTCCACCACCAGCGCTCCTGTCCCCTCCCTCCTGTCGGGTGCCCCCACAGCAAGCAGCTTACGCAAGCTGAGCATGCGCACTCCCCAGCCACTGCTCCATGTGTCCATTCACACACGGAGCCGCGGCTCGGCCCCTCTCTCTTCTCATTGGCTGTGATTGACAGCAGAGGAAGCCAATGGCTCCCACTATTGTCTCAGCCAATGCGGAAAGGTAGTTGCGGGATGGCCGAAACTCCAGTGCACATCACTGGATTGAGAGGGGGCTTGGGTTAGTATTAAGGGGGCTGGGGGGGATGCTGCACAGAGAAGATTTTTTACCTTCATGCATAGAATGCATGAAGGTAAAAAAAACCCTTGAGCCTTTACATCCATTTTAATGCAGTTCCATATTCGTTGATACATCAGTAAAAGCAAGCAGTATAAGTATCTGAAAGTCATCACTGTGCTTCTTCTTTACTGTCCGGTCACAGCCTGGGATTGGGTACATGCAGTGGTGTCCCGAGGCAGGTGAGGGGGGTGCGCGCCGCACCGGGTAACACCGAAAAGGTAAGTTTGTAAAGAAAGCTGACGATCCCCCCGCAGGATGAATCGGAACTGCGGATTGGGGAGCATAATGGATCGGAGTTCCATAATTTTCCATAATTTTCTTTTTTTTAGGCTTTCTTTTCTGTTGTTTTTCAAAAGAACAAGCTCTCTTGGAGATGTAGCAGTTACAGGGTTAAGACAAACCATTTTCAGCTGATGGGAGCTGACAATAATCAACTTTTATTTATGTAAAGCCTTTATACCAAAAGGAAAAACCTGTTTGCTGTAATTGTTATCTGGAGTTTGTCTTCAATTTGTTACTGTATCAAAATTTTCCTGTATATCTAACACTACTCTCCCCCACATTAACAATGGAACTCCGGTACAGAAGGTGTGTTACTGGACAGATCACTAGGAGAAACCAGAGGGGAAAAACCTAAAAAATAAAAACCACCACATCTAATGATTGGTAAGCTGCAATATATTATATTTTTGGTGTGGGGTTTAATACTGCTTTAAGCCACAAACCAAAACATTTTTTTTCTTGTAGCACCCCCTTACCACCTAGAAGCCATTTGTGATCCCAGGGCAGCTCAGTGGGCAAAATTCTCCAAGCTCAGTGTGATATTCTTGAGGTTAGGTGCAAGTCGCTTTAGAAATTTTAACAGAGTAATGCACAGTAAACTCAGGGAGTGAGGGAGTAAAGCACAAGATGCCCGAAAAAAGCAACCATAAATACAATTTTGAGGCTCTAACTACAGTCAATACAAAGGAAAGGGTCTTTAAACCAAAACTGTCACCTGTACTTTTAGGCTCCACGCACACTAGCATTTTGTACAAGCTCAAAAAATGCTAGAGAAAAAAACTGGATGAAAAACACTGATATTAGCATTTTTGTGCCGGCTTGTAGTAGTGTTTTAGTAGCATATAGGAGCATTAGCATTTTATTAGCATTTACAGTACATGTAGAAAAAAATAAGCTAGAAAAAAGCTGTTAGGAGTGTTTTAGTAGTGTTTAGGAGCGTTCAGTGTTATTTTCAGCTGGAAAAACGCTCCCAAAAACTCTACAAAAAACAATTTTTTTTCTGCTCCTAAACGCTGAAGCTTGGAAAATGCTACTAACATAAAATATTGTGCATGGACACTTAGGAGAACACTATTAGATTCTAGGAGTAGAAAAAAAAATGCTGATAACAGCTTCTATGAGCTTAAAAAAATGTGAGTGTGCATGGAGCCTTAGGCAGCACACCTAGTTCCTGGAGAGCCACAAGAACCTCCTGCTGTGTCCACCAGCAGTAGCTTTCACCCAGCTCTTCAGGACACTCTTCAGCAGTAACATTTTCACTCCTGGTGCTCCAGTCCAGGCAGTCCAGAATTCCTAGACCCCCAACCCAGGTTTTCCCTTCGGTAAAGGCCCCCCTCAGACCTTCCCTTCGGTAAAGGCCCCCCTCAAACCTTCCCTTCGGTAAAGGCCCTCCCCAGGCAGCAGGCCTAGAAGGCACTGTCCTCCAACACACAGTCTTCTCTGAAGAAGACAGAAAATATCTGATGGGCTGCACTCCAAACAATTCACTTTATTAAACTTGAATAAAACCAATACAGACAGTAGAAACATAATGGGGGACTGGCAGGTAAACGCGTTTCACGTTAAGGACAATGCTTATTCATTACCCAGTGGATTTTAATCATTAACAACAGCTGTTTATCCTAATCAACACTAGGTCTACCTCCTGCTACATTAGATCGAATCAAAGGCTCTAAAACTAGTAACATCCCCAAAATGCAACACACAAAATTAAAAACACCAACCAAAAGGGTATGTGTAAAAATTGTCATGTCGCACAATGAGGATGAGTCAAAAAATAATATATGTATAAACAAAAGAATACATTTAAAAAAAGACGGAAAGAAAAAATAAAAATAAAACGTGAGAAATATGTAAAGAAAACAGAAACAATTATGTCATATAGTAGTAAACACCCTATCGTGTGTAAGTATCTGTACTATTCATCCATCTTTAAATAAAAATATATATATATCTGTTTAAAATAGTGGTGCACTGAAATGAAAATTCTGTTGCTGAAAACGAAAATTCAAAATGCACTTGGTCGAAAACCGAAATGCTCAGTTTTTAAAAATTAATATATATTTTTTGGAAAAAAATACACTTTGATTAAAAAAAAAAATTTTTTTTGTACAGTATGAAAGAGGATGTTACGGTGAGTAAATAGATACCCAACATGTCACGCTTTAAAATTGCGTACGCTCGTGGAATGGTGTGAAACTACGGTACTTAAATATCTCCCTGGGTGATGCTTTAGAAATTTCTACAGGTTAGCAGTGTAAAGATACAGAGGAGGTCTAGTGCTAGAATTATTGCTCTTGCTCTGACATTCGTGGCGATACCTTACATGTGTGGTTTGGAACACCATTTACATATGTGGGCATGGTCTATGTATGCGTTCACCACTACGTGCGAGCACGGGGGGACGGGGGCACTTTAAACTTTTATTTATTTATTTATTTTTTGCACTGTCCCTTTAAAAAAAAATTATCACTTTTATTCTTATCACAAGAAATGCATGCATCCCTTGTGATAGAAATAATTAGTGACAGGTCCTCTTTATGGAGAAATATGGGGTCAGTAAGACCCCACACCTCTCCTCTGCAATGTAAAGCAGTGGATCAAAAAAAGGATTGATCTAGTGCTTTAAAAAAAAAACATGGCTGGAACCACAAGTGATATCACTCCGGTCCTCCAAGGGCATAGAGATGAGTGGAGGCCATCTTTCCTTCACTCATCTCTATGCCCACCGTCGGGATCATTCGATGGTTTCTCAGGTAAGGCTGAGAACTACCAAGCAGCGGCCGGTGGTGGCAGCGGCGGGCAGGCGGCAGCGAAGGGGCGGACAGGGGAGGGGTTTTTTTTTTTGGCACCTGTATCGGTGCTTTTTTTTGTATCGGCCGATGGCCGAAAGGGTTGTTTTCAGCCGAAGCTTTTCAGCCACTGAAATTTCGGTGCATCCCTAGTTTGAAATATGTACCTTAGATCAATAACATAATGTCTGTGCCCTGTCTCCACTACCCCCGATATAGTAAGAACCAGGGGCGGACTGACCATTTGGAAACTCGGGCACTGCCCGAGGGCCCGGAGTCAGTAGGAGGCCCCATGAGATGCCCCTGGTACCTTTTTCATAGGCTTTTTTGCGTTTGGGCAAGGACACAGGGGCACCATGATCCCCTATTGCCCGGGGGCCCCATGAGTTGTCAGTCCGCCCCTGGTAAGAACCAATACAGGGGCAAATAAATCGATGAGACAGACAAAGACATCAAGATAAACAAAAGATCAAAACATTAGCACTAAAAAAGCCAGTGATTCAAATAAATACAAAAACTTATATACAGCAGAGAAGTTGGTAGTATATTATCAAGCTGCCGAGCAGAAAGATCACTCATAAAAATAGGTGAGATCCCATTCAAAATTGAAGCCAGTAGGAATACATGTACACAAATAAAAAATCCACAAGACCTCACGTCTGCACAATCTGGGACCATCCCTCTTGCTGGGAGACCTGTCCACCCTCTCCATGCCCTGTATGCTTAAAGCACTGAGATCACCTCCATGAGCACCATTAAAATGATTAGCAACATTGGTGGAATGAGTTTTCTGTATGTCATAAACATGATCATGGAGGTGATCTCGCAACCTCCTGATCATTCTACCAACATATTGCACTTGGAAAATCCTGATGGTAATCAAATATATTAGGTGCTTGGTATTGTAGTTAACCGGTTCTCCCACTGCCCTATAGCAGAACTACTGATACAGGGTGGCAGGGCTGCGCATAATGACGTATATATGCGTGATTTTGCATTTCTGGGTAGAGGGCGCGTGGCTACAGCTGTCGACCACCGGATATTCCCCGCCAGCACCTGGAGATTGCTCAGGAACAGTGCATGGGGAGAGGTCTGTGTGTAAACAACACAGATCTCTCCCCTGTCAGCACAAACAGCAGAGCAATACAAAGTAGCTTGTCTACATAGTAAAACACACACAGCACACTATGTAAAACACAACACCGCACTCTGTTAACCTTTTGATCGCCCCAGATGTTAACTTCTTTCTTCCCAGTATTATTAGTACAGTGTCAGTGCTTTTTATTAGCATTGATCTCTGTATTAGTGTCACTGGGGATGTCAGTCACAGTTAGTCAGTTCCCCCCAGTGTCAGAATGCCCACCGCAGCCCCGCAGTCCCACACTATAAGTCGCTGATCGCTGCCATTACTAGTATGAAAAAAATAATTCCAGTATATATACCACCATTTGTAGATGCTATAACTTTCACGCAAACCAATTAATTTACATGTATTGGGATTTTTTTTTTAGCAAATACATTTTGGCCTAAATTTATGACGAAATTTGATTTTTTTAAAATTTTTTTTACTGAGTATGTTTTATAGCAAAAAGTCAAAAATATTGTTTTTTTTTCTTCAAAATTGTTGGTCATTTTTTGTACCGTATCGCAAAAAATGTCCTGGTCAGGAAGGGAGGTAAATCCTCTGGAGGGCAAGTGGTTAATAAACTTTTCTTATCCTCACCACTAACAGTGGATTTAAATTCCTCTCCCCTTTTTTATAGAGGGACAACAGGGACAACTGCCTATACCACTCCTATAATTACTCTTGAAACTCAGCCGTGTTCTTTGAGTTATATTAAAGATAAAATAGCTAGAAGACAGAACATTACCCAAGGTAGGTGCACATCGAAAAACTATTCTGGTACCATCAACCAATATTCGTGCATATGTGTTGTCACTCAGAAGTATGAGAAGATGACACTCAATAATCCTTTTAATCCTCCTAAACTCTAGGCTGAAGTAGATAACACAGGTGGTCCCTTCTTGGAACTGTATCTTATTTTTGTTCTAATATACTATTCCTGTCAATACTATAAAGCTATACTGATGTCACGATCTATTGTGGGTATCGAATAGCCTCTTTGTAAAAGCAATCCCTCATGTAAGTCACCTCTCTGCTAAAATCCTCATCTTTGGCAAATCCTGCGTAGTCGTAGAAACTGCCCCACGGGGATCCCTCTTACTGTATGCCTGGGAAGCCCTGAATCAGCTCTTAAGATGCTATTACCCGATAAAGGTTTTCTATATAGACTGGTAACAATCGTATCCTCACAACCTTTCAATGTGACATCCAAAAAGTTGATGCTATTGTTAATTGTTAAGATATGACAAAAAACTATCCAAATCCCCAAATTCACTGGAACAGATGAAAATCAAATCTTCAATATAGCGCCTGAAAAATGGTTAATGATTAAGCGCTTTCCTTAGCGTGAAACACGTTTACCTGCCAATCCCCCACTGTATTTCCGCTGTCTGTATTGGTTTGTTCGAGTTTAACCGCTTCCTGTCCAACCTATAGCAGATATACTGCTACAGGGCGGCACAGGTGCGCAAAACTAACGTATATATATGTGATTTTGAATTTCTGGGTAGGGATCGTGCTCTAGCCACGTGCGCGCCCTGCCCACACCGCCATTCGCAGCTGTCAATCACAGGATCCCAGATGGTGATTACTTGCCAGCACCCGGTGATTTCTGATGATCTCCGATGAAGAGAACTGTTTTGTTTACTAACAGTTCTCCTCCCTATCAGCTCGGGCACACTGCTTTGGATGACTGTGCACAGCACAGTCATCCAAAGCAGTGTGCTTACAGTGAAGCACACTGACACAGCCCCCTAGTAAAACACTCCTAGCACACAGTATACCTTTGATCGCCCCTCATGTTAACCCCTTCCTGCCAAGTGCCATTAGTACAGTGTCAGTGCTTTTTTTTTCAGCACTGATCACTGTATTGGTGTCACTGGGGATGTCAGTGACACCAAGTGAGTTCCTCCCAGTGTCAGAATTCCCGCCGCAGTCCTGCTATAAGTTGTTGATCGCCACCATTACTAGTAAAAAAAAAAAATTCCAGTATCTATTCCGCCATTTGTAAATGCTAAAACTTTCATGCAAACCATTTAATTTACACGTATTGGGATTTTTTTTTGAGCAAAAACATGTAGCAGAATGCATTTTGGCCTAAGTTTATGTCAAAATTTGATTTTTTAAATTTTTTTACTGAACATGCTTAATAGCAAAAGGTCAAAAATATTGTTTTTTTTTCTCCAAATTGTCGGTCTTTTTTATTTATAACGCCAAAAATAGAAATCGCACAGGCAATCAAATACCACCAAAAGAAAGCTCAATTTGCAGGAAAAAAAGGATGTAAATTTCATTTGGTGTCAGCGTTGCATGACTGTGCAATTGTCAGTTAAAGTAACGCAGTGCCGTAACACAAAAAATGGCCTGGTCAGGAAGGGGGGTAAATCCTCAGGAGGGAAAGTAGTTAATAAAGTGGATTGTCTGGAGTGCAGCTGATCAGATCTTTTCTGTCTTCTTCAGTGCAGCACATGAGCTGGGCTAACACCCATAGGAGGAGTTGTGCTTAGAGGCTGGGAGCCTCTCTAATATATGTGTGGACACAGTCTTCTCTCCTGGCAGAAGCCCAGGAGGCAAGATAGCTTCCAGAAAGTCAACCCAAATATCTATATCCTCCCCTATCTGCACGGGGTGACAATATATAATGGAGGATTATTAGTGCAGAACAGAAAAGTAACGGATGACACGGTTGGATTATTGTATAACACACATGAGAATACATGGATATTTGAACTTTTATGTATATTCACACTGAATGATGTATGCTTTAAAAACATAAGTTAAACTTGCTATATGGTCTATAATGCATACTAAATACGCATGTTTTGGTTCAATTGGGATATATACCATTTTTAGTAGTATATAGTACACGGTCACTATTTGATTTATCATTATTTCTATTATTTTGTTATTTATTTTGGGAACACAACTGGTGTGGGCAGCAGTATCAACACTAGTTACATCTTTGAACCCTACGATTAGAGACATTGGACTTTTTTGTTTTTTTTGTTGAGGATACATGGTTTATGCAGTTTTTTGTGATTTTACAATAAGATTTAATTCTTGTTCACCTTATTTTTCTGCTATCTTAAGTGATTGTGCTGAAGTTTCTCTTATCTCACTCCACTTGCTGATTGCATTTGGTATGTTTGGCCCTCTACTTAACATTTTGCACCTTACTGGGGTTTAGGACTCTACCACGAAGCCTCAGTAGGGTTTGAAACATGTCAGAGGAAGTTAGAAAGTGGAATGTCTTTGCAGCTTGACCTGATAAAATTGTTGAGAAGAAACAGATTTGCAGTGTGAAGCCAAACCTTCTTGTGTCGGGTGGGTTTTGGGAAGAGGCGAAGTTTTGAGTTTGCCCAGCACCTAGGACTGAAGTGTGTGGCCTAAATGAGGACAATGAAGAGGATGCAGAAGACTTTGATTAGGCTAAAAAGTTTTATATTCATACTAAATGCTCCAGGTCAGTAACTAACTAGGTACAGAAGCCAGGTTGAACATGAATTCCCCAGTGCCTGCACCTTTAAAGTGACCATGTAACTACAATAAAGAAAGATATGTCAGAATTGCCTTTTGACTGGAGAAGTTTAATACTTAACATTTCCAGCAGATGATGAGTAAAATCCTAAAGAGCTCCAGCTGAAGCCAACACTTTAGTATGTGTCAGACGGAATGTCCCCTCGCTGGCCTGTTGTTCCTCCAACTGTCCACTCTCAGAACCACAATACCCAACATGCTACCCAATGTACCCATAAGTTTTAACCAGTGAGTGAAGGTTTTACCAGAAAGGAAAGCATTAGGGCCTCTGTTGACGGCCTTTGGTTCACTATAAACTGGTTTTGCATTCCTATGGAAATGTAAAACTGACCAGTAAATGGACCAGTACATGAATTATCAATGGTCTCAAAAGCACCACCAAATAATGTCAAACTGATGCCTTTGACACAAAAAGCTCATCAACACACGCCCTTAAAATTCTTCCATCACAGGGTGCTGCTGCTTTATTTTTATTTTCTTAGTAGTGACATGGTCATTTTTAAACTAAGTCAGCAATGGCAGCTTCCATATTTCTGTCCTCCCTTTAAATCTTTTAAGCTCGGAATTTCATGGTGCCATCCTTCTTTATAGTACAACCTCTCTAACCCATACAATCTCAGAGAGAAAATTATCGCATTTCCAAATCAGCAACATCTGTCAGTGAGCACGTCAATATATCGATTGGATCTCAAGTTCTGTCCATTACAATCTGTACACCGACAGAGATTTATGTCCTTTCTCTCA